AGCTAGTGAAATGAGAAAAAACTTGATCAAAAGTACTGTAAAATCTAAAAGCTTGTGAAACTATTGTGAAATCCTTAGACATTGTTGAATTAACTACCATTAGTTAAAAAACCAAAAAACCTACATTGACTTTGTATGTATGGCTTCTTGTCCCAGACTGTGTAATAAGTACCCCTGTAAATTTGTTTCTTGGCTCCATGGAACTAGATGATGCCACAAAAAGAGGCATTTTCAGCTCGTAACTCCAACATTTTCATTCTTTAAGAATGAAAGAGGCTCTGAATGAACATTTGGGTTGTTTTCTTTCCTAACACCTTAGCTGTGGTGTTAGGAAATTGTTCTGGAGAGAAGAAATTGTTGAAAGTTAAATTTCCTTCTGTTATTTATGGTACTACGTCAACCACAGGTTGCAATTATCAGCGAGTGATGCAATGCATGCTGGTTCTGAAATGAATCAATTCAAATATTTCATTGACAAATTGTATGTTTTGTACCATGCTTTGCCAAAAAAACGTAAGAGCTACATCTATGTGTAAAGATGCTGGAACTAACATAATTAACAACTGGAAAAAATATTAAGCACAAAGTGGATAACTTCCAGTTTCAACTGGATGCCAAAAGATTATGAAGCCTTGGTGTTTTATTTTGTTAAAGTTAAAAATGATTCAAACACAGAAAAAAAGGGTAATCCATGTATGAGGGTTTATAAAGAAAGATCACTTCAGTTGACTTGCTTCTGAACTTAAGACCAATGTATGATGTCCCTCATGAACTGTCAGAGCTGAACATAAATTTACTAGAATGTGACATTAAGCAACGCTACTAAAAAGACAGAAGATATTGTTAAAATATTTGAGGACAGAAAGCAGTATCACAGATTATAGTACAAAAATGTTGTTATTCATTAGAAATTCTAGCCTGCAAAGAATGAGTTTTCAAAAGTGATTCTCCAAGCTGCTGTATGATAAAGATGATTTACCCAAATTGGCCTGAATACTAGATCCTAAACAATGGCCAGAAGATTGGCAATTAACACTTGTTAAGAAAGAAGTTCTAACTTTGTTCATAAGACTGAGGGAAAAAATCCCAAAAGAATTATTGCCATTAAAAACATCACTTGATACTACACTTATAGTGTCATCTGAATGTGAAAGGTGCAGTTCACATATGAACATCACTTATCTTCCATTAAGATCTTCTGCGTTGATTCACACTGCCTGTTCCTTGTTGGGTCCCCTTTTATGAAGTTTGATCCAACAATGTATATCCAATTATGACTACTTCACAGATGGCATTCTGTAACAGCTACACAAAGCAAAGAATGCAGCCAAGAATACAAAGCCAATAAAAACACGATGAAGATTTGGAACATCCTTAACCTACTAAAGGAGTGAACTATTATATTGCATAGCATAGCATAGCATAGCATAGCATTGCATTGCATTGCATTATATTGTTTGTCCACTGCTTTAATGCTCTTCATTACAATTTAATCAGCATCTGCTCCTGATGAAACTCAATCTAAGAGTTCTGGTACCTTTTTCTCCAGAAAAAAACCACTGGGTGTGACCACTGAAATGCATTATTTCATTCTCAATGGCCAGAGGAAAATATTGGGAGATTTTAGGAATCATCTTCAAATCAAAATACCTGCAAAAGATAAACATTTGTGCCCAGAAAGCTTTGGCTATGGGAATGGTACAAAAATTAAATTAATATGTTGTCAGTCTTAGAAAATAATCTATTTCTTACTGATTCCTTTGAGAAAACAACTCTGACATCTAACACAACTTGGAAGCATCTTCAAAGAGACAAAGTTATCAGAATACAGTGATAAAGGTGACTGCAGTATTACGTAATGATCAATACACATCATCTCCAAATGTAGTAGACATGGGATGGGAGGGGTCTTAATAGTGCCTGGGCTTACTTCCAGGCTTACAGATGCCAACCCTCAACTTTCCTTTACAAATCGCCTATACTTCCAAATGGCCAGAGGATTAGACCATTAGAATGGCAACAGCAGCCCCACAGGAAACAGCTACAGTCTCCTGAGTGGCCTGAAAGAGTACCTACAAAGAACCCAAAGACTCCCAGTGCCATTAGCAATGGCCCTGCTTCCAAATGGCCATAATGTTCAGGTATCCTTCTGAATGGCCAGAGGATATGGGATAAAGAACTCCAGAAACAAGACAGGGAACCCTAAAGCTGCTCAAGGGTATCTCACCATTTGCCCTGCAACTGCTCTTGAAAGGAATACTGTCACCTCTGAACCTGGACATTTATTTATTTATTTACCTATATTTTATAATCCATTTCACCAGTAACTTCAAAGTTATTTACATGGTACCTTTTTACTGCCATTGATAACACCCACTGATAGACCAGTCCTTCATGTCCTAGTCCAAAAGAGACCCCAAGGACTAGGAGCAACAGTGACGGATATGAGCATAGATGCTGGAAAGAAAGCTAGCATAGAGTAGCTACACACCCAGAGGACAATAATATTTGCACTGAAATACAGAAATAAAGGAGTAATGAGACCAGGTTGGGCAAGTACAAACCCTCTAACACATTAAAGGATTTTCACAGGAAACATTCACATTTTCCCATGTCCAATTTCTATCCATTCCTATCTTATCCAAACAAGAGCATTCAAGATTTATCATGGAAGAGTTACGTAAGAAAGCTATACTCCCACCACTACAAGTAGTTAAACATTGGAGCTCGCTGCTAAGCAGACATCTACTGTATATAAATTATTTAAATTACGTACATTTCTGCAACTCCTCATACTAAATTCTACCACTGAAAGCTTACAAAACAAAGGGAGTCTATGTAAGTTTTCCTGTTATTGAGCAGCAACCATGCTTCTTTGTGAATTGACTCTAGCTTCCAGACTCATTCCTTTTACACCACTGATTGCAACTGGTGAACTGAAAGCTACTTGTAGGTTACAATTTTACTTAAGTGTATCTCATCCCAATCCAACACCAGCAAGGCCATAACCTTCTTTGAAAATTAAAGGAGGGAAAAGTGGGACATAGAAAGCTGAAAAATCATCAGGATGGAAAGGAAAAGAACAAATCTAGGTAGAAACAGTATTAGTTTTACTAATTTTTTAAAAGTTTTTTTAAAAAAATAGAAGTCTTTCCATTTTCAGAGACAACATGAAAAAACATGAACCGAGAGTGATAATTACTGGTCCAGAAGTATTGCCCACTAACACACATTTTTCCTAACTCTTAACCCAGGTTTACCATTAGTTCCACTGATAATTGTAAATGTATTCTACTTCAGAAAGCAAAACAATGCAATGTTTCATGTAACTATGCCTTATGTCTGAATGGCAGGGCTGAATTTTGTATTATTCTACTTCATTTATACATTTTGCTCTAGAACTTGCTTACTTATTATGGTCCCAAATTAATGAAAGGTCTTGGGAGGCCTGCTTGCAAAACTTAGGAACAAGCTATCTGGCAAATCAAGTTTAACTCATTTAATCTTCCCTTATTTTAAAAAGCAGTACGTCAGGAGCGGCAAGAGAAATCTTGCAAGGAGCTCTTTGTAATACAAGAACTATGTACGGCTCACCCCCACTGGTGTCCTCCAAATGTGTTGGGCGGCCAACTCCCCACAAGGCATGCTGCCCAGGGGGCTGCAGTCCAACATGTCCAGAGTGCACCAGGTTGGGGAAGATTGAACTACAGCTTCAGTATTTCACAGCTTACTTCTTGCAGAAGGATTATGAACTTCTCTAGTATTATTATTTGATGTAGGACTCAGTTTTCCAAGCCTACCTTAAATTTCCAATAATAAATTCCCAATAATATTGCTTTAGGATACTTTGGCAAAGCTGAAATTTCCCAAATTAAAGATCAGGAGATCAGACATTGTTTTGGGAAGTGGGAGATCAGTCTCAATTGTCGGTCTTACCCATTCCATACAGGAAAGTTGGCAAGGCTGCACACTGAACCAGCTTGCTCAACTACTGTTCTGCTCTTGCTACATGATCTTCATACTGCTGAACCCTCCTTTCCTTGGGGCCCTTCGTCGCTGCATCCAAAGCAGCTGCTTACTCCTTGCTCTGTGTCTCCAGGCAGGAATCCTGACTAGAGATGTGCAACCATTTCGTTCCTATTTGCAAATCATGTAAACAAGTCCTGTTTGCAATGCTGGAGTGTACTACTTAGAAAATGCTCACAATTTCCTGAGCTTGGGTTCACATTAGAAATTGTGCACTTGTGCAAGTATGCACTTCCAAAAATGACCATTTCCCCCACAACCCTACATCAGCCTATGGAGCAGAGGGGAATACTTGGGAAAATGCCTTTTTATGTTGGTGGGGCTTTCGGGGAAAAAGCCACTCATGTGCAGGACTGAGAACAAAACAAAATGAGCATCAAGTAGGAGACTGAGAATCTTAACTGTTATGATCATTCCTTTTTTTCCTTTTCTAACTCTCATTTCCCCTGTCTCTTAGTCTGGGGAGTGGGCTAGCTGTACCACACCATTACCAACATCCCAGGTGAGAATAACTGTACTGCCAATTCCATGCAGGCACTTGGTACGGAAAGTATGTTGCACTTCAGGAGGAGTGGGCCATCAGTAGCTCAGGCAAGCGCAATCTCTCTCTGCTAGGCAAGGGTGACACACTCCATCCTGAAGCTCCCCAAAGCTAGATGGGCAAATGTCACCAGATGCACCTCAGGGCAATAAAGGAAAGGAAATGCAGCAGAGATGCAGCTAAGCAACTACTGTGCAGGACACTTCTTGTGAACATCCTGGACAAATTCTTAAGCTGTCTAACAGGACAGTGGGCTCAGGCTGTGTCAGTGAATAACACTATCCAGGCTTATACTTTATGCCATCTGACTTCACAGTGCAGCTTGCAATTTTCTCTGCTCACCCACCCCCACTTTAATGCAAGAAATATAGCAAATGCAGGGCAAGGGGAGCAACATGCAAAATGGGGGAACAGATTCTTCAGGTTCTCTTACAGGGTTTCCATCTTTCCCACTTCCTTCTCCTCTGCCGATGCCACCTTTTCTCACCCTTGTGTCCAACTGATGCTTCTGTATTTCACCTCCAGCACTCTGTCCCATTAGCCTGGTGGGGTAGGTGATTTGTGAAACAGCCCATTTTTTGCGCCAGCTGGCATTTGGGTTCCACCTCCGCAAATCACCAGATTGTGTATCCGCCTTAACAAAACCTGTTCCAAAAATGAAAGAAAGGAATCATAAGAAAGGAGATAGGAGTTGGTGAGCACAGATTTGTTTCCAAGATGAGCAGTTAAAGGTTTTCGGTCTGTCTGGTCCCCCTTTCTGCTCTGGCAGTTCTTACCCTTAGTCAATGTAACTCAACATGCAGAGAGAACAGTGCTCAGCTCTGGTCACTCAATGGTGATGGAACATGCTCAGGTATATTCTTTTCTGGGTGTCTGGTGTACCCAGGTTATACCTGAGCACAGGTTTAGAGAATAAATTCTGGTAAGACCTCGGTCAAATCAACCATAAAGGAAACAAAAACAATTCAACACATGGCAGGAAGGCCTACTTACAGGATTCAGGGGAACCCTGCCAATGTAGTCTTCAGACAGAGCCCTTTCAACATTCTCAACATCCACTTAAGTGTTCATCAAACTGACAAGGGCACAACCAGATTTGTTTGGGGCATGTTCCCAGTAGGGGCTCCTTTGGACCAGTGGTTTTATTGAGTTCTAAAAATGAGAAGTGCTGGTGCTCAAGCCCTCCTAGAATTTACTTGTCCTGATCTGCATGCTGTGTCCCACAACCCTGAATATATGTGGGAAGATTGTGGTGGATAAGCACTGATAGGAATACACTTTGTACGTGTCCCATGACTGTTCTTTTCTGTCATTATCTCAATTGCTTCTGGGCTGAGCCCTGGTTTATTCCCAAACATTTCAGAAGCTAGATTGTTAGCATTTCTGGCAATGCTCCAAAATTCTTTCATGAGCTGCTCTGTCCAAACTCATATCCTCTAGAAAATATGAGCCTGAGCTGTAAATGCCAAGGGACCACAATTCCCTCAACTAATTATCCCACCCCAAGCATTCTCAGGCAAAACTGACAAGACATTTCAGTCACCTACCCCAGCTGTTGCTCAGCCATCTTCACCTTAGGGCTGGAAGAAACTGCAGAAAAATGTGCCTATGCAGCAGAAAAGACTGCAGTCACAGCATCGGGCAGGCGAGATGGGGATGTAAAATTGTGTGTTTGGGAAAGGGATGGATTTCAAACTAAAGAGATGTTTACAAGCAGGTCCTTGCAACTGCTACACCACCTCTATCCCCAGGTGTCCCAAACAAAAAGGCAAGGCAGAGCAACCTGCATTATTGGGAGAGGGATTAGTGGTGAAAAAATGATGCTCCAATCAGCACAAGGGATGCATGTATTGTGACTTCAGCTCCATCCTGCCCCAGCTTCCCACCCCATATGATGCCCTCTTCCCCATTATTAGTCAAGGAGAAGGGGGAGGACAAGTAAAGTTGGGGGGCCCAAAGAAAAGAGAGGCTTCCCTCACCTGAATGACAAAGCAGCAGAGAGAGGAAGGCTGTCAACACCCAGTTCTGTAGCAGGCAGCTCATAATGTCATCATAATCGGAACTAGTGTTAGCAGCAGTTGGTACAGCGTGCAAGGAAGCCAGGTCGCGGTGCTCTTTCTTTTTTTCCTTTTGCTTTGCATTGAACACCTGGGATTCTCGCTGGTCTTTTCTTCTTTCCTCTTCTTTCCTTTCTGAATAGTGGCTGAGGGAGAGAAGGGAGAAGAGGAGCAGAGAAAATGAGAGGGAGAGATGGGAGTGTTTTTGCAAAGCTAAATCAAAACCAGTGAAGAGTTTAGGATGGGCAGAATTTCTCCATCTTCATTCTACATTGATGGATACAAGCGCCTAACATGGGTATGTGTGCACGCACGCACGCGCATGTGTGTGCTAGAGAGAGAAATGTGGAGAGCAGGGGAGAAGGGAGGCATAGGAAAAGGAAAAAAAAAAAAAGAACACGTGAGCTACAAAGATCCCTCCTCCTGCCTTTTCTGCATGGAAGAGCTGTCTCTGTTGCTCCCCCCACCTTCCACACACATAGTCTTTGTATGTTCGTGGAGAAGAGAAGCCAGCAGAAAGCAAAAGGGCAAATCACTGGATGTATAAAAATCAATCTCTCTGCACATGCACCCAGACAATTTAGACCCTTTTATTTGGGGTTAATCAAACTAAAATAAGGCAGACTATTTGTGATAGCTTATCAGGACTCACTGGATCGAGTCCTCCTCCCCCTTTTGCTGGAACACCCAGGCAAAGAGGCAGTGGCAGCTGGGTCTGAGTATAAAGTGACAATAGAGCACTGCTCGTGAATGGCTCCAGTTGATAAGGGAAGTACCCCACAGCTGTGGGAGAGAAGGGTTGCCTCAGGAGCAACAGCTGGGTCTCCTCAAGCTGTTGCTATAAACCTCTGGGAAGGAAAAGGAAGAGAAGAGTGATGGGAAAGGGAAGACAAGCTGAAGGAAGCTGGTTGCAGATGGACAGACAATCTCTCTACCATGGAAGATGCTGGAGGGGTGCCTCACCTGTAAGCATCCCCCAGGACCTTGTTCACTGGGAAAATTGGAACCCACCAAGTGTGCAACTATGTGAAGATCTCAATCTTATCCAGACCTGAACTTAGCTCTCTGAAGTACCTGAAAAGTCCCACCAATGACTTCATTTGGAATGCCACTTCCCTAGAAACAAACAACATCCTGAAGGCAGACCATGAAGTGTTGCCACATGAAAAGCTAGTACATCTGAAGGGCACTAAGCTAGGGAGGAAGGCATGATCCCTTACCCTGAATTGCAAGGCTGTAAGCTAACTAGTCCTCAATACTGTAACTGAAAGAAAAGACTTTACCAAGAAATGGCACTTACTTGTGCACTCCTGTAATTATGCAGGCTATAGAAGAGGGTGACTCTTGTTTCTCTTCTGGGTGAACCCCTCACACAATATTAATGCAGAGGAGGAGCAACTGCTCTTAAAGACTGAGCCAAATTCTTGTTTTGACTCAAGCCTACTTGTATTAATATTGGGACATATGAAAGTAAGAATGCCTCAGTACATGCCCCATGTCTACCATCATTGCTGGGAAACATAGCTTTTGTGTTAATTCACCCTCTTTGTACAACCTGTGAAAGTAAAGATTAAAGATGACCCAATTAGAAGAAATGTGGTACTGAGTAGTAAGGTACTTCAGGCCAGCCAATCAAGTGTACAATTAATTTGCCAAATTAAGAGGCCAATAAAACTGGTAGCAAGTCTGTTTCTATTTGTATGTTAAATCTCCTACAGCATGTAGTTTTACTCATTTGAGTCACCAGGAGATATTTGCTTTACACAATAGCTTTTCTAGAAAGCACTTGCTTGTGATATGAAGTAGTCAGTATTGTGTGGGATGATCATGCCTGTATGTGGGGGCAGAGAGAGGATCATGCCTTGAAAAGTGGGAATAGGATAAGAGAATAGACTACAATTTCAGAGGTAATTCTGTCATGAGATTCTGTGACAAAATCAATATTCAACAATTTCAGAAACCTTTAAGTGAATTGAAATATTCAAGTGCCAATAAATCCTTCAAACCCTCTCATTTAGTTTGTTGTTTCTATGTGCTGTCAAGTCATCTCGAACTTATGTCAACCCTATGAATGAAAGCCATCCAAAACATCCTGTCCGTGATAGCCGTGCTCAGCTCTTGTAAATTCAAAGTAGTAGCTTCCCTTATGGAATTGATCTGCCTCAAATTTGGTCTTCCTTTTCTTCTGCCTTTGACTTTCCCTAACAAGATTGTCTTCTCCAGGGAGCTTGCCTTCACATGAAATACAAGAGCCTCAGGTTTGGCATCTTTGCTTCCAGGGAAAGTTCTGCCTTGATTTGATCAAGGATCCACTTGTTTGCCTTTCTGTTGCTCTCCTCTAGCACCATGTTTCAAATGCATCATTTTTTCCCTGTCAGTTTTCTTCACTTTCCACTTTTCACACCCATACATAGTGATCAGGAACACTAGAGTGTGGATGATCTTGACCTTGGTCTCCAGAGAAAAGTCCTTATACTTGATGATCTTTCCTAGTTCATTCATTGCTGTCCTTTCCAGTCTCAGTTTTCTTCAGATTTCTTGGTTGCAGTCTCCCTTTGAATGGATGCTTGTTCCAAGCTTTACAAAATCCTTCACAATTTCAATTTATTTCATTTTGAAAGAAAAGCTTTGTAATTCTTCTATAGTCATGTCTTTTGTTTTTTAAGGTTCAGCTGCAGCCCTGCTTTTGTACTTTCTCCTTTCACTTTCAACAGGTGCAATTTCAATTCATTGCTGCTTTTTGCTAGTAACATGCTATCATCTGCATATCTTAAATTGCCGTGGTGTCTTCTGCCAATTTTTATACCTTCCTCTGATCCAATTCTGCTTTCCTCGTGGTATGTTCTACATACTGATTGAACAGACGGGGAGATAAAATACACCCTTGTCTGATGCCTTTTCTCGTAGGAAATCATTTTATTTCTCCATATGCTACCCTAATGATACAGGTTACAAATGTATCAGGATGATCACATGCTGAGGCACTCATTCCTTCAAGGACTATCCATAGCTTCTTATGACCCACACAAAGGCTTTGGTCTTCTGAAATTCTTTGGTGTGCTCCAGTTGCCCACATAGATTTGTGATATGATCTCAAGTGCCTCTTTCTTTAAGGAACCTAACCTGAACCACAGACATTTCATGCTCCATTCTCTGTTGCAACTCCTTGAGCATCACTTTGCTTGCATGGGAAATAGTGCAAAGGTCCTATGAATGCTGCATTCTTTTGCATCTCCTTTCCTGGTGACTGGAATGTATATCAGGCATTTCCAATTTGTGGTTGTTTTGTTTTTTCATATTTGTCAGCATATTGGACCAATTCAGTCTTTGTGCCTTGGAATATTTTGTTTGTTTATTTTATTCCACTTTATAACCCAAAGGTTCTCTAGGTGGCTTATAAATGCTGAAAACAGCATACAATACAGTTGATAAAACAATTAATAAAGAGGATAAAATAGATAAAACAGAAAAATAATAGATAAAACCATCTCCTGAAAAATGTAACCACACACTACATGTAAAATACGACCAATAAATTAACAACAAAAATTAAATAAATAATCCATAACAAAATATAAAATTAGAAATTAAATAAATTACATTAACAAAAAGCTTGTTTGAACAAAGATGTTTTCACCTGGTGTCTAGCTGTCGTAAGGTAGTAACTCAAATTAACTCACACAGCAGCCAGCAGTAAAACTAAAGACTTTTATTGCTATTCACTACAAGATTTATGATGTAAAAGATAAGCTCTAGCAACAAGCTCCTAATAGTTCAGTTGCCCCCTCCTTTCTGAGCTGCCTCAGAAGACCACGTGGTATTAGATCTTCCCGTCTCTTTTTTCCATTTGTGGGTGGGATGGACCTCTGCCTTGTCATCGTAATTGGTCCATTCACCTTAAACTCCTCCTAAGTTGGGCGTTTGCCAAATTCACTGTTATGTCTTCTTGTTCTCCTGAACTTTGTCCAGCAGTCTCAGAGTCTGGAGCTGGAGGGCGGGGCGGGGGGGGGGCAACTTGTTCAGGCACCTCAGAGCTAGGATGAGGGGAAGCTACTCTTTCGGATGCCTCACCATCAGTCTGCGGGGAGGCTATTCGCTCAGGGGATAAGGGGTCAGGCTGTGGGGAGGCTACTTGCTCAGAAGTCTCAGAGTCAGGCTGCAGAAGGGCTGTCTGGGCACTGTGCCCCAAGTATAAGTCCCCTTGTTCCAATGTCTGACTCTCACTGTTAGCTCCTGCCTCTTCTTCACAAGTAGACACCTCTGTCGAGCCGTCAGGCATGACACTAAAAGAAAGAAAAGTTGATGCCAGCCATATGTCCCTAAGTACTACCACCAAAAATCCCCCCCCCAGCCCTTCCCCCTTGATCTCACTGGGGAGGGAGGGTATTCAGAGGAGGAGCTCTGAAGAGGATCTAAGGGGATGGGTAGGAATATATGGGGAGAGGCACTTCCTCAAGTACCCTGGTCCCAAGCCATTTAGGGCTTTATATGTCAAAGACAACACTTTGAATTGGGCCCGGACTGAAACAGGGAGCCAATGAAGCAGATGGAGGATTGGTGTAATGTGTTCTTGCCAGCCAGTCCTTGTAAGCAGCTGCCTTACTCTCTTCTGGATAGTTGTGGTGCCCAGACTGTTTTCAAAGATAGCCTTGCATAGAACACATTACAGTAATCTGGGAAAGAGGTTACCAGCACATGGGTCGCTGTGGCAAGGCTTCACTCATCCAAGTAGGAACATAGCTGAGAAATCAGACAAAGCTGAAGAAAGGTGTTCCTGGTCACCAAGCCCACCTGAGAACTTGGGCTCCAGAAGCACCCCTATGGTATGAATCTTATCCTTTAGGGGTACTGCAATCCTGTCCAGGGTAGGTTGAAAATTTCCTAGTTGGACTACAGGAATGCCCACCAACAGCACCTCCATCTTGTCTGGATTCCACTTCAATTTATTGGCCCTCATCCAGCCCATTACCAAGTTCAGGCACAGGTCCAGGACAACCACCACCTCACCTGGGTCAGAAGAAAAAGTGAGTTAGAGCTGGGTGTTGTCTGCATACTGATGACACCTCAGCCCACATCTCTGGATGACCTCACCCAGCGGTTTCATGTAGATGTTAAAACACATGGAGGGCATTATCGAACCCTATGGAATCTGTTCCAATAGTTCTGTTGGAATCCTACCTACTCTGGGTGCTTTGTTCCTTCCAAGTATTTTAAGCAGTTTTCACTTCACTTTCTAATATTGCAGGTGCTTCCTCATGGGATTCCTCATTGGCCTGTTGTCCTTTTAACTTGTTTGCATAGTTCTTTTGTATATTATTTATATTTGTATATTCTTCTTTTTTAGTGCTTCTTTTTCTCCCAGTCAGATAC